AAAGTTTTTAGTTTTGGAAAAAAAATGATAAGATTTTTTATTTATCAATTAAATAAATTATCAACTACAATACATGATGCAAATTAATTTTAAAAAACATATATAAAATAATAATTTCTCACTTTTTTTATAAAATTGAAAATTTCAATTAAATTTGTGAAGTTCATATTTTAGATTTACAAATTATTTTTTAAGTATTTTTTACTATATATTTACTTGGACGGCCATTTTTCAAAAAATAAAATAAAAATAATTATATGTAATTTAATTTATAAAATATGAAAAAAATTTTCACATAGTTTATAATTAAAATTTTTTATTTAAAATAAAAATTATTTATTTAGAATGAAATTTATAAATTTAGACCTAATACAAATTGGCAATGAAATTTATTGCTTAAATTGATTTATAATCCATGACTTTTTTTTATTGATCTTTATCTTTTTCTACCATGGCTAAAAAAGAAGAATAAAATAATTAATATATTTCGAATAATATTTTTTTATTTGTTACTTAAGAACCGATTTAATTTACTCCTCCATAAATTAAAAAAAAAAAAAACTTAAACCTTTCAAAAAAAAAAACTTAAAAAAAAAAAACTAAAGGGAAATGATGTCGTTCTGGTTTTAACAATAACCTAAAAGGTCGTCCCTCTGTCTTCTTCAGTCGCCGCTCCTCTCATCTGATTGGTGGCTTTTCTATCCCTCTCATCTCATCCAACTTCTATGCTTTGTTTCTTAAAGCCTTAGTCCTAGTTACAATTTCTCTAGTAGTTTTTCTCTGTCTTGAGTTTTATCTTCAAGATTGAAAATAAAATTTGTCGAATCAACAATGAGTGACGAGAGCTCAATGAACTACAAGAAGTAAGCAATCTTTTCATTCTTCTCTCTTTTTATTACTTTTGTTTTTATATTTTGTACTTTTCTTTCTAGGTTTTTGGATTTTGATCTGAAATTGACTTTTGAGAGTTTGAAAAGAAAAATTATATTTAATATTTTTTAAAAGGAATTAAATTAGAGTAAATATTTAAATAAATAAGAGATACAGTTATCAACTATATCTTAATTTAGCAGGTTTCGGCTTTATAATTGCTTACTGGTTCATTGTGATTATATAGAATATGGAGGAATGACAGTGGGTTTTCTATTGGTATCTAATTGGAAATTGAGATTTTTCTGTTCTTGGTTTGGGATGGATTTTAACTGAAATAACGGTTTTATGATCAGTTATTATGGATTAGCATAATAAGGAGTTGGATAATAGCTATGATACTAAGTGATATACTGATACTCATGTGGGTGCAGTTTCTAATATTCCTTGTTGTTTGTATTTATTTATTTATTTTTTGCCTATTTGGCAGTATTTATATATATTAGGAACCTTTAATTTCAGTCAACATAAAATAGTTACAGGGTTAATATTACGAAGCTTGTCCTGTTATAATTTTAAGTTTGAAATAATTAAACAGATACTTACTAGAGATATTAATGCTATTTATTTGAGTAGATCTTAGATTTATTAGACATTTATGTATTTATTTGATTTGTTAACTAGAAAAATTTTGTATTTATTAGGCATTAATATTTTTAATACAATCATCTTTATTAAAAATTTGATAGTTTTATATTTATTTTTCCCTTTTGGTATTAAGCAAATATAAAAAAAAGAAAAAAGAAAGAAATAACAGTGGATTCAGCTAGTGATTAGTAAGGAATTTTATCAACATATAAATACATTTTAGTAAGGGATTTAGCAAGGAATTAAGCTAGTGATTCCAATAATATACAAATATGTTTAGCAAGCGATTTAGCAATGGATAGATATAGCAACAGATTTAGCCAGGGATTAGTAATGGATTTTAATATTATATAAATACAATTGTGAAGGGATTTAGCAATGGACAGAAATAGCAACGGTTTTAGCAAGGGATTATTAATGGTTTAAGCAATGGATTAGATACGGATTAGGAACGGATTGACATGCAAATTGGTTCCCAAATGGATTGGCTTTCAGCAACAGATGTGGAATCTTTTCCGTTGCTAAATTAGCCACGGATTTGTATTCCCGTTGCTACATAATTAGGAAGGCGCTTTTTGGAAGGGAAGCTATTCGTTTTTGATCTGTTGCTAAAATGAATTTACTAAGGGTTTTTCGAGGTTTAGCAACGGATTTTCTCTTTCTAAACTGGATTTCGTCTTTTAGTAATAGCACAAATATTATACTTTGCCAATTCGATCAGATACTTCAAATCAGATTGTGTTTTTTTTATTCTTTATATCAGTTTATTATTAGACTTTCTATGCAAAAATATAGAAATATATTGATCTGTATCTCATATCTGTATATAATTTTCTTTTAATGAAATTTCTAGTTTGATTTCTTCTAAAAACTAATTGATAGAAGTATTTTTAAATTTCATTTATTTTAATTTGAAATAATAAATATTCTGATTTGTCTTTTAAAAAATAATATTGTTAAAAGGTATTTAATGACAAAAGTATTGGGAAGAAAAAGAAAAAGATGGAGTTAATAAAGGGTATAGTGGTCTTTCTGTGAAAAATTAACAGTAAAAATTAAAGGCAAAAAGGGACTAAGTAGTCTTTTTCTTTTTTTGAAAAGGAATACTGCTTAATTATTATTAAGATAAAAAAACAGTACATAATGAATAATAGAGGGATGGGTATTAATCCACTCTACAATACTAGATATAAAACCTGTAGCTCGTGTTAAGGAATGAGCAACATGATTCGCTGATTTTTAACGAAAGAGTAGGATAATGAAGTAAACTTCCTAGAGGGTTTTACAATCATGAATCAAAAGGGAAAAATAGGAATGATTTTGCTTGTTTCCATCCAGAGCTTGTTTTACTAGTAAACAGTTCGTTTCAAGGACTAGAGGAGTAGCATAATAATGGTTCTTCATTAAACTAAGGGCTTCACACACTCCAATAGTTTCAGCTATCGAAGGACCTTGCACCCTGCCTAAACACATTGCCTTGCCTGCAATAAAATAAAAGAACTAGCAGCATCTCTAATAAGCAAACCAATACCCGCCATCCCCGTAGCTTTATCAAAACAGGCATCAACGTTACACTTGAATCCATGTGGTGGGCGTTGCCATTTAACAGCAAAAGGCAATGTTGGAACTGCGTATCTTAAGTGTGTTAGGATACCGGCAATATAATTACGAAAATAATTACGGCAGTGGAAAAATAGAAATGGGACACACAGAAATTTACGTGGTTCACCCTCAACTGTTTAAGGCTACGTCCACGGGACCAACTCCGACTCAAGAAAGAGTGCATAAATAATGGTCTCACAGTCATTAAACCATAAGGCTTCAACACACTCACGAATAATTCAAGCTATACGGAAGGAAACTTTTCTTGACCACACCTGCCTAAACCACATTGCCTGGCCTGCAATAAAATAAAAAGGACTAGCAAGCACATCTATATAACAATTGCAATTGTTTTGTTGACACCAATCACCTCGTCCATTCACACGTGTATCTTTATTTCAAAACAGGCATCCAAACGTACCTTGAACTTCTCATGTGTGGGCGTTGCCAATATTAAAAACAGCAAAAGCAATTGTGTATGAAACTCAGCGGACGTAAATGCTTAAGTGATGTTAGGATGACTCGTGTGCAATGACAATAGATGATGACAAAAAATATTGTTACGGCAGTGCTAGTATAAAAATATAAAGGGTTACTCAATCAGAAATGTTGTACGTGGTTTCACCTCTCAACTGATTTAATGGCTCACTACGTCCACACAGTGGACAATTAGGACAACCCGGAAATATTTCTTCCACTTAATTAAAAATAGTAAGGCGTACAGCAAGAGTAAATACAAAATAGTGGGCATCTACCAACCCTACACCCTTCCCGCACATTCCTCCTAAAAGTGTTCTCAAAACACCGCGAGAGAGAGCATCATTATTTTTTTTTATATAATCCCTTCTTTTAATAGAATCGACCTTTTCTTAAAATCTAAATACTCCTCACAAATCTTTTCTCACAATAAAAATTTAAATCTGGGGCTATATATCATAACGAGGCCCCTTTTTATAGAAGGTAATGTCTGAGAGAGTCGTTGTGTTGTACACCATCAGTCTCTCGCATTTAGTTAAATGGAGTGTGATTGACACAACTTCTCCATGGTCAACGTTTTTGACATTTTTCAAAATAACCCTTTTTCATCTCTTAATTATCATTAAAATGTAAATTTTTTATTCATAACTGTGTGAGTCTCCACTTGATACAGGGCACATCCAACCACTGGACAAAGGTGCGCTCGTGCAAATCTTTTCTTCACAGATAAAAATTAATCTGTGGCTATATATCAAACGAGGCAACTCCTTTTTTATAGGAGAGGTAATGTGAGAGTCGTGTGTGTGTTACACACAGCTCTCCATTTAGGTAATGGTTGATTGACAATCTTCTGTCAACTTTTTGACATTTTCAAATAACCCGTTTTTCTCTCTTTATTATTATTATTATTTTTTTCTTTTCAAACTGTGTGAGTCCCACTTGAACGGGCACACCACCACTGACAAAGTGCTGCTGTTGCATCGACTGCCACTTATTTAGAAAATTTCGTGTTTTATGAATAACAGCAGCTGGATATACATTCTTTTACTGAAAAACCATCCCATTTGAGCATTCCAAATTTCCCACGTAGTCATCACTGCCTCATGCACCTGTTGTCTATCACAGTGACCTCAAACATCTGCAAATCAGCCACAGCTCCTCGCCAACCAACATCTGAGATAATCCAACGATCCCGAGCAAATGGACAAGTCACTAAACAATGAAGAGTTGTCTCAGAGTCGCCATGACACACAAGGCATTCGGTGGAAGTATTCACATGGCGCTGAGCTAACACCGCACAGATAGGTAGAATACCGTTCAGGGCACGCCAAAAGAAATTTAACACATTTGGTGGGAGAGCTAATTTCCACACATACCTCCACAGCTAGTGCGGCAAGTTTGATGCAATATGCTGTCTCCGTTATTGAGTATTGTAACCCGACTTCACTGTATACACTCCCTTAGCATCAAAACTCCACATCCAAGAGTCCTTTTGATCTGTAATTCCCAATGGGATCTGCTGGATTAAATTAATTTCAGCCATGCTAAATAGTTGATTTATTGCTTCCAGATCCCATGATCTGCCATCAAATGTCATCAAGTCTGCCACATAAGTCTCATCCATACTAGTTGTGCTTAGGGACTGGATATATGGTGAGTTATTGCCTGCTAGCCACGGATCATTAAAAACCCTTCTAGACTGTCCATTCCCTCTGCGTTCTATACATCCCTCACGAAGAAGAGGTATACGAGCACATATTGACTTCCAAAAAAAAGCTCGGGTTCGTTCCACTATACGCTTGTAGGAGTTCTTTATTTTAATTTGAAATAATAAATATTCTGATTTTTCTTTTAAAAAATAATATTATTAAAAGGTGTTTAATGACAAAAATATTAGGAAGAAAAAGAAAAAGATGGAGTTAATCAAGGGTATGGTGGTCTTTTTGCGAAAAATTAACGGCAAAAATGAAAGGCAAAAAAGGACAAAGTGGTCTTATCGAAACAAATTTTAACAACGACATTATTATTTGATGAAATTAATTGTATTTTATAATTAAGGACGAAGTAATTAATCCTATCAAACCTTAGGAACTACGTAATAATTTTCCCTAAATAATGTTGTATCATTTTTGTAAACTTCATTATTCATAGCGCGTAGAGAACAAATTTTACGGCTGGAGAAAACAAAGAAACCCCCCATCTCCTCCATCGCTGACGATAAAGATAGAGCAGAGAACACAAGCCTAACTTCTTTTTGTGGGTTTACAAAAGGAAATGAAATGGGGCTCAAGAAACTCGGCTTTCCCCTTTTGGCCATAATGGTAATATTATCGCAGCTTCATCTTCTTCTTCCTCCTCTGCATGCACATCCATTGCAAAATGCATCCACTGCTAAAGGTATTTTCCTATTCCTCTCTTTTATGTCTATAAATTTTCCATTTCAACTTACAAATTGATGGGTTTTGCATGTCTAAACTTGAACTTGGTAATTGTTTTATTTTTAGCTCTTAATCTTTAATAGCCTCTCGTCGATTGCTCATCAATTCCTTTTTTATTGATTAAAATCAAGTAACTATTGAGTTTCTAAGTACTAGATTCATTAATTTTCTGGGGAGAGAAAAATAGTTGGTAAATTGTTGATAGAGGGAGCTTGGACAATCATAGCCGTTGATGAAATTAAATCATCTAATAAACTACATCAATCAATGACATAAATCAAGAAAATAGTTGTGGGCATGTGCTAGTGCAGGAGCTTTCCAGCTGTGAGATGGAAATTAGTTTAATACTTTTTCAGGATTTGTTATCTCCATAAGCAGGATTTGGTTTATGTCGTTTTATGTTTATTAATTAACTATTAATCCTTAGAGATAGATACAAACTTGGCTTTTTCTGTGAAGATTGAACAAAGATTACTCCACCAAGCAATCTTGCCAAACTTTCAAGAATAGAACATTTCTTTAATACTTTACTTTATCCCTGTAAGCGGCTTCGCTTTTCCACCTCACCCTTTCTTTTTTTTCACAGAGGAGCAAATATTGGGTTAGTTCAGTTGAAATTGAATTAAATAAGCATAAATGAAATAAATTGAAATTTTTATCATAAAAATTTTAAATCCAGTTGCCTAGTTTACAGACATAAAACTAATTTGATGTAAAGTTTCGATTTAACGTTGTAGTTTCTTCTTTTTTTTTTTGGATGAAATGTTTTAGTTAAATCAACTAGATCTTTTTAAAAAAATTTCAACTTTGTATACTAAAAATTAAACTGAATTAAAAATAGCTTATCACCGTGGTCCGGTGACTTTTTATATCTTATAGAAAATGTAAAGAGTTGAAGGTAGTTTTCACTATAAAAGTTATCAAACGTGTGGTGATTGTTATTCAAAACCCCTCTCAACTTTTTTCTTTTTGCCCTTTTTAGGTAAATTTTTATTTTAGTCCTTTTGTTTTTGTAATTTTGACTCTAGCCCTCCTTGACATTTTTTTTTTTTTAACTTTTGTAACCACAATGGACTATTTATTCTCTTCATCTATTTTTTTTTCTTTTTTTTTTTATTAGTTACGTTAAACTTTTCAATTTACCATATTAGAATTTTTCACTGGCCCATTCTTCCTTAACTATGAGTATGTAATTTGTCGTTTTAAACCATTTAAATCTAAGTTCTGGTTGTTCAAAATGAAGAAGCAAACTTTTTATATATCATTTTAACCCTCACTTTTGTATTACTCAAGAAAAAAACCGCCACGTTTTAGCACTTTCAATTGATTCATAAATTCTAGTGGACAATCGAACTCGGATTCTCTGCCCTCACTCTCAATTTTTACCAATCATATAATTTTGCTTATCTAAAACTATTAATGGTAACCATTTTAATTGTTTGAAAACTTGCTATTACCAAATAAAGATTTACACCTTGTTTGGAATAAATTTTGTGAAATTCATTATAGATTTAAATTTTTGTGTTTACTGTGAAAAACAAAAATGAAGAATTCAATTTTATAGATTTGAATATAACTAAACTAAATTCTAAAAAAAAAAAAAAGAAAAAAGAATTTCCAAATAAATTCCACAAATTTAAACAATCCTTTATGACTCGATTCCTCTTGAATTCTTGAATGCTCTCACCAAATTGGTGAAGTCAATTATGGTTGAGAAGATTCGAACTCGAGACCTCTAATTCCTCACATAAGTGAGAAGGCTAACCAAATCACACCTGATCACAAAGTTATTTTAGAAACAAAAAAAAAATGAATTTTTAATTTTAAATTCATTCCAAATATAAAAAATTCATTTATACGAAACGGAGCATTACAGTTGACAATGCAAAGTTTATATAAAGGTTGAAGGATAAAATTGTAAAAATCTATACAAGTGCTAGGAAAATGTAAAAATGTTAGCTGAAACACTAAATCACAGTTCATATCGTGCATAATTTCGTTAAAAAATGGATCGGACTAACGTGCTTTCCTTGTGCACTGCACAGTAACTTTCCAAAGAAAATAATGTGTGCACTTGTTTTCTTACTATGTTGGGGAGATGCACCAATACTGCGTCTTTGAAAGGTGCATCGTCTAACTTGGCCTTGGTGCCACAATTTCAGGCCTGATCCTTCAGGAACCAAAAGCTATAAATGAAAAAATTGGCGAAAATAAGGGGATGACTGTAAAACTAACTGTTTCAGCAGGGATAAAGCAACTATTATCAGTAGACAGAAGAGGTGGTGGTGGTGGTGGCCATGGAGGAGGAGGTCATGGAGGTGGCCATGCAAGTCATTCAGCTGGAAGTCACGCGCACAGTGGAGAGGCTACAGGTAATGGTAATGATGGGTATGTGCATGGTGCAACTGTAGTGCCTTTGCTTTCTGCCGGAGCTATGTCTCATCACCAGAACAATGACCACCATCATGGTGCCAATGGAGCTACCCCAACCTCTACTGGTCCAAGCTATGTGGTTCTTGCAGCCTTGGTTAGTTTTATTCAATATTTTGCATTGCTTTAACTTATAAGATCTCATAACTTGTTCGACAAAAAAGTTTCAGAATTTAATTGGTGTTGTTATTTATCTCTGTAATTACTTCGGAGATTAATGTTGTTCTTTAATAATATATTTGGTTGAAGATCCAACAACTTTCATCAGTTTGATATTACGTGTTAAAAGAGAGGCAATCAAAATGCTATATACATTTCTCACAAAATTGACAAACTTCAAACAATGGGAGTTCTTCCCAAAATAAAAAATAAAAAAAATAAAAAAATAAAAAAAAAATAATTGAGGCACTACAAATCTTAAAACAAAAATGAAAAGATCATAACATGAGAAGTTTCACAGTCAATCATATGATACAAGAAATGGAATGACCATCGACATGAATTCATCATAGTTGAAGGTTGCTGTACCAGTATAACGTGAATCCTTCTGCTTAAATTTGTCCGTCAGACCCTGAAATCCACAGATAAAATGAATTAAGCCTTCATCAGAAAGATTAAATATATCAGCTAGCAATATTTTTCAAGAACTAACTGCGATTACCCTTTATTAAAAGGGTGCATATCTATCTAGTTTAAATACTATTAAATGAAAAAAGTTTGAGGATTTATTGTCTCACCTTCACAATCATACCGCACCTGCAAGTCAAAATAGCAACAAACAACAGAAACATAATCAGATTTGAGGTCCCATGGAAATAAATACATGTGAGACAGAGAAATTTTCAAAATGAGAAACCTACTCAACAAAACTGTCAAAGTTAAGTTCAATCTTTCTGCCACTTCCATCATCATACTTGGAAATCAGAATTTTAAGAACAGAAGATGGAATTGTGTAGCCAATCCCATAAAGAGCGTCTCTCAGTTCAAACAAATCGATTTTCCCACTCCTGTCTCTATCATATCTCTCAAATATTGCCTGCAAGTTAAAAATCCATCTTTTAACGGCTAAAATGCTAAAGATAGAAGATCCACAATATAATTTCAAATATATTTGAGCATAATTACGTATATATTCTTTTCCTTTTCCTCAATTTTCAGGAAAGTTCAGCAAACAAAGGTCACTAAAGCAACAATAACAGAGGAAGCTAGCATTCTAGTCAATTTGTTATATTTCATGCAAAAAATTGCAATCCCATAGGTCTAAGTTTATTTATTATTTTCAAACTAAGGATTTCTACATAAATCAGAAAATAGGAAATGTACAACTAAAAAAAAAAACTCTTATTGCTGAGTTATTTTCCTCCCCTGCTCTTATCGAGAAAGAGAGCTGAACAATCCTAAGACAAAAGGACAAAAAACTCAAAGCCACTATTCTAGAACAGCTTGGCAGCAACAAAAATTTAACATCATTATATTGCTTGAATTGCATCTAAAGTAATAAGTAATGCCAGTTGAGAGGTGCACACAATTTAGGATCGATATTCTATCCCACCAAAAAAGGAATTCATTGTTGAAGCAAAAGAAGAGCAGAGTTTGCAATTTATTTCCCTACAAGTTCCCTTAACATAGACTATTGAGTTTCAGCTCTTGGTGATTAAAACAATAAAGAGAATGAAAATGGTTCAAAATGCTAACAAATTGAACTGCTATATTATATTGGCAAAACAAAATTACAATTTCTATTTTGATATTCAAAAGGGAAAAAAAGAGATTACTTACACGCCATTGACCAAGACAACTCCATAAAGCAGCAAACTCTTTGGGTCCTGCATCCAAAAAGTATAGCCGACATCATTACAATGTTAAAGTGAAAGCCATTCGAATCTAAAATAGCAATGGAATTCAAAGTGAAAGCTCAAAACTTTTTTCTTTAATTTGCCTATTGAACTTGGGTCTTTTTTCCCCCTAAAACAAGTGCATAAAGAATGGATTGGCCATATTAGTCTTTTGGTTGAAAATTACTATCAAAATCTATCCAAATTCAAGTTTAGGAGGCAAATTGGTCATTATCCATTTTCTTTATAATTTTTATTTTTGTAATCAGCTCAAAAACAGTTTCAATTAGAAGCCAAACCCATTGAAATACAAGAAGAAATTAACACAAGCATATCCCAAAAACATAAAATTCAATTACGATGCAGAAGAAAAACCAAAAGACCAGTTTAAGAATTGAAATCTGTGAATTCAGTTCAGTATACTAAAAAGGTTAAATTTGTCAACTAACCAATTCGTAGAGGATCATACGGATTCCTGAAGAGAAACATAAGCAGCCTAATAGTTCTAATATGAAACCGTTGATATCCAGAAGACAGAGCTTGTTGCAACTCATTCTCATCGATATATCCACTCCTGTCCCTATCCACCATCTGAAAGCTCCTAATCACATCTGGATGTGTCCCTGCTGGAAAACCAGAGGTTCCATAAGAGTAACCACCCTGTCCTTGTCCTTGTCCTTGTCCTTGTCCTTGTCCATATCCTACCGCATAAGGAGGCTGCTGCCGCCGCCTGTAGTCACTTGAAGGAGGATCATTATATGAGTAGCCCTCCTGCTGCTGCTGCTCATAAGACTCGGGCAGGGATGGAGCGGATGGAGCATATGACTGCTGAGATGAGTATGGTCTGGTATAGGAAGACATAGATGAACCTTGAAGAAGAAAGAGGAAGCACCAAGCGGGAAGAAGGTGATTGGGGATCTTTTGTGTGGGTAGAGGATTCGAGAGATAAATGTATTTTTATACTACTATTTTATGAATTTCCGTCTGCTGGTTGCGTACGTTTACTGCTTTTGTCTTGTAAGGATATGGAAGTAACATGACATGATCTGAGGCCGTTGAAGGTGTAACATTGGGATATTAACTTTCTAACAAAGTGAACGCTGAGATTTATTTTATAGTTAACGTGGACAATAGGACATATTGCTCCGTATCCATGAAGAAGTGGTCAACGAAGTACAAAACTGGCGGCGGTTTCTCGCGAGGTTTCTTTGTTGTCGTATTTTCCGGTATGTTACGATCTGATCTCCTACAGTGATCAGAATAACAAAGAACCGCCCTTGGGCTTTCAACAGGTAGCCGACTTACCAGATACGCGTGTATGCAGGTGAGAAGAGTTGACCCACTCTTCTTCCTTGGATAAATAGAATAAAGAGAGGGACATTGGTCCAATGTTTTCTTTAGGGATTAATGCATTGACACTACCTTTAGATTAGAGTGGAAGGAAAATAATCAAGGAAAGAAAATAAGGAGAAAAAAAATAAAAGATAATAATCAAGTTTTTATCCTTTATTATTTTCTATCTTGTGTTTGATTGGGTGGAAAATTGAAAGGAGGAAAGAATATTCATTATTATAAATTTATTATTTTATCCTCACTACCTTTCTCCTTAATCAGTTAATCTCCCTCTTGATTCCATCATACTCGAAAATTTCCACAATGGCTAGTTATTTTTTAGATTGTCTTGCATTAACAAGAAAGTAACTCTATCTCTCCATCTTAAAAGTTTGATTTTGCTGGATCGAAGTTAGATTTACTTTTAATTTTATTTTATTTTTAATAAATTTTAATTTACTCGATTTTGTTTTTAACCATAGTTTTTGGATGGTCTTTTTTTTTTTTACCTTTTTCTTTTTAGTTTGCTTAAATTAAAGAAATAAGAAAAAGAAAGCATTTTTTTTTCCTACTGGTTTGTTGATTTATTTTCTTTATTTTCATTTGGGAATGTTTTAATTTAATATGTTCAATTGTGAAAATTTTTTTCATAGGTGAAGGAAAATAAATAATATTTGTGGGTGACACTGAGTTTGAATAAGTGGGAATTATTGTCTTACATCATTTATACATTGTGGCAAAGCCAAAATCAGTGTTTGGACCCAGATTTATTTCATTCTGGAATTTAAGAAGATGAGAGAATGATCCAGAGAGGAGTTTTAGATTTATTTATTTATTTAAACTAAATGAAACTGGTTAATTGATTAGTAATTTGGCTTTACAGGACTTAGAGATTTGGATAAAAAAATGAAGTCTTCTCTCCCTCTCTTGGTAAGATCGTTATGGATGAATGAAAAAGAGCAAAATTATTTTTCTGTTTTTTTGCTTTTGATCGCGTGTTCCACGCATAAACTCCAGCCCAACACATGGGCTTTTTGATCTTGTTTTACAAAATAAAGGAGTTATTTGGCTAAAAAATTAAAAAAATGGACAAATTTAACTTTTATTTCAAATTTAGGGGGCATTTTGAACCTTTTTCCTTTTTAAACTATTTTTTTTCTTTTCGGCTAAATATATAGTTTCACTCTTAAATTTTTTCATTTTAACTGTATGTGACCCGGTGTTTTGCGAATAATATATTATACACTTCAACTTTTAAATTTTATAACTATTATATATCTCTTTTATGATTAAAAAATTTGTTGAAATTGCTTTAAAATAAAACTGTTGAGATGCGTTTATTACATGCTCTGACGTGTAAAAGAAAAATAAAAAATTGAATTAAGCTTTGTTCACACCAGTGCTACCGACACCATCTCTACTACCGTCACCATCTTTTCCTCCATTTTTGCTCTCTTCATCTCAAATTTTGTATAATTCATTTTCTTTCTTTCATCCTTTCTTGAAAATGATTCAAGAAAAAAGAAAGAAGAGATAGAAAATCCAAAATTTATTTCAAATTTAATTTCTTTGTCAAGTTTTTATTTTTAATTTGTGTTTTTTTTATAGCAAATTGAGATAAAAATGGGTCCAATTGCAAATAATGATTTTTGCCATTTTTGATGAGCTTTGCAAAAATAGAGAATCTGATTTAGTTATTAGAGTTTGATGGCATGGACGAGAAATATGATTGGAGAAATGAGTCACCTTGCACTGTTTCAGATATTTGCTTCCTTAAGTATGTTTTTTTCTTAGTTTTCATCACTTTTTAATATCGTTTTTTCTTTTGGAAAAAAATTATGGGTTTGTTTGGCCTTTTAGCTTGTGTGAATCGGCAAGCTAAGATGTGAATGGTGTTTTTTAAGTTTTCTTATGGGTTTTATGGAATATTTAGCTTCGTTGCTTGAATATTTTGATTATTGAGTGCTTTTAGTTAAGGTTGTGCTATGTGAAATTTCAGCTAAACACTAATTGACAATTAATTATTTTTTGAAACATATTAAGTTTCTTGGATTTCTCTTTTGGGTTATTCCAAAACTATGCTGGTTTTGGGTATTAGAACTCTAAGTTGCAGAACATCAAAGGTTGGTTAAAAATGTGCTTTCCCTCTCCAAGATTTCTTGCTCCCTCTCTGTTGCTCTTTGGATATGTCCTTTTTGTGAAAAGAAAGCCATGATTCAAGGAGAAGAAGAGATACAGAACACAAAGGAATCGAGATTTCCAATTTGGAAGTAAAAGATAAAAGAGAGAGAGAGAGATAGGATAAGTTAACATTTTAATTAATTAAATAATAAAAAATAAATTTTAATTAATTAAAATGACATGTTGGATTCTCAGCATTTGAAGCCACACTTTGGGATTCTAGTGTTGTCAGGTGCATAATAGTTACAAAATGAAATAATTACTTTTACATCTTTGGATAATGCCATAATTAACAAGTCAATCCTCATTTTTTTTTTTTTTTGAATTACATTAAAACATCCCCACATGTTAATTTTGTTACACTAGTCAATCCTTTCTCTCAATTTTCATCCCATAAGCTGTTAACTCAGTAAGAAAAAGTGGGTCTTAGGAGAGAATAAAATTAAAATACAAAACTAACCCTATTGATGAGTGTATATATTATAAGTGTTTAACCCATCTTTCTTAAGTATGTCTACTCTTCTTCTTTGTAGAATCGCCTAGGGTTTGTGAAATTGGAAGTGTGAGTGTGATAAGTTCATCAAGTGCCACAAAAAGTGGAATGGAGGAAAGGTTTGTTAATAGGCTTTGTAAATGTGGGAGGAGGGCATGGATTAGAATATCTGAGACAACGAAGAACAAAAATAGACTTTATTTCTATTGCCAAAATAATGAATGTGACACCTTTATTGGTTGGTTCAAGTTGGTTGAGCAGTTGGAAGCAACAAGCACAAATGATTTAGGAGAAATTCCAGTCGATCTAGGGATCTAAACAATTATAAAGCCTGGATTTTGAGCCTTGTGTGAGACATGCTAAACATGAAAGACGTCATGTACCATATGAAAGATGAAAATACGAAAGGGAATGTATGTTGCTATGGGAAACCTGAAGCTCTTCACTGCTCTTTGCATGCTTAGTTCTTGATTTTTATTTTGGTCTTGACACTTATATTGAAGAAGGGGTAAATGGATTTGAAATGGATATTAGTGCATCTAAGGTAGCTGGTCCAAGTTATGGTGGTTGTATATGGTAGCTGTTGTAGTGAATGTGTGTAGGCTTGCAATAAATGTAATTGCCAAGTAGTTTGGTTTAGTAGTTATTTTTGTTTTTTTTTTTATAACAATCAGTAAAAGCCCACTTGTAATCAGACCTAATTATATATGAAGTTAAAGACCTTTTGTGTTTTATCAAATTAAATTATATATGAATGAATAACTGTAAAGAATACTTGTACTTAATAAAGGTAACAAATATTTTTCCATAAATATGAAATATGATTTCATCACATATTGTTCCCAAAAGTTGGATATAGTTTTGAATTACATATGCAATTAATGAAAGACTTAGATACATGACCATTTGCTATCTATTTGCATATATCAACGAAAAGAACCAAAAAGTTGCAACAGTTATCAAAAAAATAAAATGCATATGTCCAAAAATCCCAACAGCCTCAAATAGTTAATGCATCCGCTACTCTTCTGCCACAGGTCTTGAAGATCCAAGTGTTGTAAGAGTTACAGAACTTCTGTGCTGCTCCCTACCCCTCTGTGTCAAAGAAATAACATAAGTAATGTTAATTACTGCACTTCTAACCAAAAATCACAAAATAGACTTCAAAGGTGTATACCTGAGAAGGGGATAGCTTATCACAAGTTTTGATGTTGTGTCCTAGCTGACCACATCTATTGCATCTCATAATGGTTGCCCTAGTTCTGATAGTTATAGTAAGTGCTTCACCTAGTTGCCTTATCCTTCGATTCTTAGGTCTGCCAGATTTTCTTTTTAGTTTTGATGGTAGGATTTTATCAGTTTTAGTATGTGTTGCAAATTCCACTTCTGAAACTAGATGAATGACACCTCTATACGCCTCAGTGTATTTGGAAATGGTGAAGTAAGCATCACAAAAATCCTCTATGTTCATCCTTTTGTACCCTATTGCCAAATAAGAATGTTTACAAGGTGAGGATAGCGGGATTTATTTTTTTATCATTCCATAAAAGGAAAGATTAAAATGGAATGGGCTTGGTTAATTTATTATTACAAAGCAATTTTCTTTTATTAAAATCGTTTATTAATCCTTAGAAATGGCGATCCTTTTGAAAAATGATTATAAAAAGATCTCTTATATTGGTAAGAGTTTTAGTTTTAGGAGTCACAGCCCTCTTTAGAAAAAAATTCTCGAATTAGTCAATTCTAACTCGGGTTTAAACCAGAGACAGAGTTTGGGAGTTAGGTACGATATTGGGAAAGTGTTAGGCACTCATATCGTCCAGTTTAAACCGACCTCCTCATTGTCCATTAATTCACAATGATTTAATAACAAAATTAACTAAAATTTAGATGCAAAACGGTTTTAATGCAATTTTTAAAAAGATGTCAAATATGCAAACAATATCATACATTATACATGAAATTAAATCATCCATAAGAAATGGGGGAAGGAGAAAACATTACAACCGATCTCCTAACATACATTCTACCCACATCCCGTTAAAATTTTCTAAATCCCAATTAATATTACAAGCAAGTAATTATTAGGAATCCATTTAGGACCCTTTACATTTAGCCAATATACAATATAATACCAAAGTAATAAAGAATCATTCATGAATCATGAACACAACATAAATGACATTCACAGAATCATACAACACACTCAGAATAAAAAAAACATTCATTCACTCAACTAATGATTCAAATGATACATGTTTATGTTCATAGGTTAATA